CTGCCAAAATGTAGTCAGATTTGTGATGAAATTGTTTATTTTCATGTGTTTAGGACAAGTTTAAGGATTCACCGGTTGTTCTTGTGACATCTGATCACCAAAGAAGTGGAAAGGAACACGACGCTGCGTTGATCTGGACAGAAGATGTGAAAAAGGACTCGTTCAAGGCCTGTTTGCGAGAACTACAAAACTTTGATGGCAAGCATCAAGACATTTATGTGGTATGTGATATGCTTTCTCTTTGTTTTAAAATCAATGAAGCTCTGAGATTGAGGATTTTTCTTCAGTCTCACCAGGGTATCGGCTTAATTCAGTATTATACTTTGACCTCTGCATTTGTGCCCAGGCTTGATTAGAATTCTCTCAGTTTCATTTCGTTGAATTTTAAGGTATTTTACAGTGTGAAATCATTTGAAACTCCGCATTGAATAATACGTTACGGTACTCGCTAGAAGTCTTGTTTTTTGCACTGGTTCTTTACAGACCTGGTTTGCGTTTGCTAAGTTACATAAACCACTCTTCACTGAGCATGGTTCTGTATACTTTCCAAATACGGATCCACCCACAGATGAAGACAACAACGCTTACTGCGAGGTAAGTGTACAGTGTAAGTCTGAGTCGAGCACTGCGATTATAGAAAATTAGAGTAATTAACGGTGATGCTCAGGAAAACAGTTATTCAAGAATTTCCTTCACTATTTATTTTTCATCTTACTAACAGTTTGTACACTTTACACGAAGTTACAATGCGATACCATCCGTCCAAGTATCAGCTAATCACAGCACAACAGCGAGTGGAAACATGGCACCAGTTCATAACGGTATTTCTGCGTGGGTTGAGGTAAGAGCTTTTTACTTGGTAGACTTTAAAAAATGTTATATCGGCTTAAAAATAATTGCTTGATTATCAAAAGTCCTCATAAAAATAGCCATCAACTTTACCGTTATTTCTGTTTTTAATTCCTCTTACAGGATGTAGTAGAGGACAAAAGAGAGATTTAGCACCACGTTTACGTGAAACGTGGACGGCAAGAGTGACCAAGTGACCTTGTTTTTCCCACCATTCTTTCACGTTTGCCAGTTGCCCTTTGCCGTTTCTATACGAAAGTAATCTGTTTCGCTTTTGCAGTGTACGTTAGCATATGAAGATGAGACAAATAACAATTTCATGTATAATCGGAAAAAAATCCAAGTCCCAGATGGGATTTGAACCCACGACCCTCCGCGTACGTTCTTCCACTCAGTTTTCTCAGTTCAGTGTCAGCTCAGTTCAGCTTATTAAGAAAAATTGACAAAATACAAAATATGATGTACCACTGCTCGCAGTTAGCTACAGCTATTCGAGGCGAGCAGTGGTTTGACGCACTACATGAAGTATCAACACACAAATTATGCTAAGTGGAATTACAATTACAATACATATATCTTATTAACCAAGCGCGAGGGCCGTACTGGGAGAATATCGGCCCGAGGTCTTGACAGTACGG